TAGCAGTTCAGTGCTTATTTATTTATTTAAGTGTCCTTTAATTTCTATCATCAAAATTTGTATTTTTCACCGTGGCAGTCTTGCAAGTCCTTTGTTAAACTCTTTTTTGAATACTGTTCAATTAAATATTGGTATTATTGTTAAGTGCTACATAGTCATTTTCAACTCATACCTACCTTGAACAGGGTTTCTGAGGCTGGTAGTTTAGAGCTGCTGACCTTGTGTTTAGCAATCCAGTACTATTTCTACAACACCACAAGAGGACAGCTGTGAAATATTGACCAAGCTAAATTTATCTGTCAATTTTAATAATGTATTTTATTCCTTAGGATTTTCCCCATGAATAACGATGTTTTCTGTGAATAGATACCATTAGACTATGTCTTTTATATTAGTAAGAAGGAGCAGCGTTTCTTTGTTTCTGATCTAGGGGAAAGCTGTTTAATGTGTTACCATAAAGTATAATGTAGACTGTAAGACATTTGTACTACTTGCTATCTATTGCCATGGAGTTAATGTGACACATGCTGACTCCAGGTGTTACAGACTATAACTGGGCTCTGTAGGATTTTCTTGGTTGTAATCTTTGCAGAAGCAGATTTTTCCAGACCTTTCTTTGATAAACTGGATTTGAACCTCTCACCTTTCAGTTAACAGCTGAGTGCTAAAACATTTGTACCAGATATTTGCAGATAGCTTTTATTAGGTTGAGAATGCCCCTCTGTCCCTAATTATTGTCAGTGGATGATAAATTTTTCCAAACTTTTTTTTCTGTATCTGGTGACCTGATCATGTGATTTTAATCCTTTATATTCTTAACATGGTAATTTTGTTAATTGCAGTTTTAAACATTAGGATGTCCTTACATTTTTCAGATAAATCCACTTTTCATGATACATTGTCATCTCTGGTAGCATAGTGGTTATGAGTTGGGCTGCTAACCTCAAGGTCAGCAGTTTGAAACTGCCAATTATTACGTGGGAGAAAGATGAGGCTTTCTTCTCCTGTAAGGATTTATAGCCTCAGAAACCCTATAAAGGGTCTCTATGAGTGGGAACCGACTCCATGGCACATCACCACAGATATGTATGTTGTTACACATATATACATTTATATATGAATATGTTGCCACATTCAATTTGTTAAAATTTTGAAGGAAGGATAATCACATTATGTTGATGAGGGTTATTAGTTAAATTTTTTCATTTCTTTTAATGCGTTTGTCTGGCTGGAGTCAGCAGCATGCTCATGAGTTATGAAGTGCTTCCTCCTCAACTTTATGAAAGCATTTGTGTAAGATTGTTTTCTTCCTCTCATGATTGAAAAAATTCATCAGTAAAGACATCCACACATGGAAAGTTTTTTGTTTTGTTGTTTTGGTGTTTTTTGCAGGGGACAGAGTAGATTTTAATAATGAATTCAAGTTTGTTCCCATATATGGGGCTATAAATACTTACTTTTTATTTTATTTCAATTTTATGTAAATTGTATTTTAATAGAATTTGTCCATTTAATCTAACTTGTCAAAATTATTGTCACTACGATATTTTTGAAAGCTGGACAATGAATAGGGAAGACTGGAGAAGAACCAATGCATACATTTGAATTATGGTGTTCGTGAAGAATACTGAATAAACCATGGATAGTCAGAAAAATGAACCATAATGAACCAATCTGTTTTGCAAGAAGTACAGACAGATTACTTCTTATAAGCAGCGATGATGAGACTTCATTTCTCGTAGGTTACATATTATCAGGAGGGAACCAGTCCCTAGAGAAGAACATCATGCTTGGTAAAGGGAAGGGTCAACAAAAAAGAGAAAGACCGCCAAGAAATGATTGGACACAGTGACTGAAGCAATGAGCCCAAACAGAATAGCAGTTGTGAGGATGACACAGGAATGGGCAGTGTTCTGTTCTGTGTTGTACATGGGCTTGTTATGAGTCAGAAGTAACTGGACAGCACCTAACAACAATAAGACTTCTTTTTTTTATAAGCTTCTCTTATTGTTGGTAGGTGCCATTGAATCAGTTCTGACTCATAATGACCCTATGCACAACAGAACAAGACACTGCCCAGTCCTGGACCATCCTCACAATTGTTGTTATGCTTCAACCCACTGTTGCTGCTACTGTGCCAATCCATCTTGTTGGGGACTTCCAATTTTTCACTGACCTTTCACTTTACCAAGCACGATGTCCTTCTCTGGGAATTGTCCTGATAATATGTCCAAAGTATGAGGGACAAAGTCTCTCTTGGCTTCTAAGACATATTTGGCTGTACTTCTTCCAAAATAGTACTGTTGGTTCTTCTGGCAGCCCATGCATGGTACTTTTAATATTTTTCTCCAACACCATAACTCAAATGTGTCAATTCTTGTATGGTCTCTCTTATTAATTGTCCAACTTTCATATGCATGTCCAACTTTCATATGCTATTGTTAACTAAATTACAATATCTTGCCTGCAGAGGACTTTCCTGGATTTGCCCATAATGGAAGTTGGGATGCTATCAGGTAGACAGGTGTTTGGAGTGCCCCAGAACTAATCCCATAAAGCTTTTAAATCTGTGTGGCACTGTAGTACCAGCACTGAACTGAAGACTGCAAGGGTGGCAGTTCAAACCTACCTGATGCTCCTTGGAAACTCTATACTGGTTGCTGTGAGCTGAAACTGACTCAAAGGTACTTAACAACAGCAACCATCGAGTACATATGTGTCACAACCTGAGACTTTCCTCACCTCCATAGTTTTGTCCACAATAATGATTAATTTATCTGACACCAATGATGATTTTGAGACTATTTCCTTAATTACAGTCTATAGTTAAGCTGGACTCCTGGTGTGATGCTGTAGGATCAGCACTGGATTGTGATCCACAAGGTCATCAGTTCAAACCCACCAGTTGCTCCTGGGAAACTCCATAGCAATCCTATACAGGGTTGCTGTGAGTCAGAACTGACTCGATGGCACTTAACAACAACCACATAATTAAGCTACATGACCACAAATCCTTTGGACACCATTATGGCTAATGTTGGTCTATCTCATTTAGACAATTTATCTTTGTCCTGTTTAAGATTTATAAAAGGGGGCAGTCCTGGTATGGCACTGTGGGTTAATGCACCAGACTGCAAAGCCATTTGAACTGCAAGGTTGGCAGTTCAAGCTCACCAGTCATTCCTCAGAAACTCTATACAGGGTCGCTATGGGTTGGAACCGACTTGATGGCACTTAACAACAACAACAACAACAACAACACCAAAGGGGTTTCTATGTCCTTTCACCATACTTATTCAATCTGTGTGCTGAGTAAATAATTCAAGAAACTGGACTATATGAAAAAGAACGTGACATCAGGATTGGAGGAAGACTCATCAACAGCATGCAATATGTAGATGACACAACCTTGGTTGAGGGAAATGAAGAGGACCTGAGGTACTTACTGATGAAGACCAAAGAAGATAGCCTTCAGTAGGGAGTACACCTCAATGTAAAGAAAATGCAAATCCTCACAACTACATCAATAAATAACATCATGATATATGGAGAAAATATTGAAATTGTCAAATATTTCATTTTAATTAGATCCACAATCAACACACATGGAAGCAGCCATCAAGAAATCAAATGACACCTCGCATTGGACAAACCTGCAAAAGATCTCTTTAAAATGTTGAAGAGCAAAGATGTCAGTTTGAGGACTAAGGTATGCCTGACCCAAGCCATGGTATTTTCAATTGCCTCTATGCATGTGAAAGCTGGACAATGAATAAGGAATACCAAAAAAAAAAAAAAAAAAAAAAAAAAAAATTCTTTTGAATTCTGGTTGCTGGCAAAGAATATTGAAATCTTTCTTAGAAGAAGACCAATCAGAATGTTCCTTGAAAGACTCTGTCTCTTGTATGTTGAGCTTGTTTTCAGGAGACACCAGTCTCTGGAAAATAACATCATGGTTGATAAAGTAAAGGGTCAGCAAAACAGAGGAAAGCTTGCAAGAAGATGGATGGACACAGTGGCTGCAACAATGGGTTCAAACATGACAACAATTGTGAGGATGGCACAACACTAGGCAGTGTTTTGTTCTGTTGTCTATAAAGACAACAACAACAATGATGAATGATGTTTAGTACATTTTCATATGTCTAGTTACCAACTTTTGTGTGATATTTGTGCAGATTTCCTCCCAGTTTATAAAGAGATGGTTTGTTTTCTTATTGTTGAGTTTTAAGAATTCTTTGTGTATTTTGTATGAGTTTTGTACTAGCTATGCATTTTGCAAGTATTTCTTCGAGTTGTGGCTTACCTTTTGATTATCTTAAAGTTGTCTTTTATAGAGCACAAAATTTTGATTTAATAAAGTCCAACATCAAATTTTCTTTTGTGGATTATACTTTTGGTGACAAATTCATTATCAAACTCAAGGTCATGTACATTTTCTCCTAAAACTTTTATGAAATACACATTTAGATCTACAATTCATTTAAAATCTATGTTCATAAAATAATGACTGGAATGTTAGGATTTACTAAGTCTTCTAAATCAAGGAAATATATAATTAATCAAATATTATATTAGAAGGTACTTTGAAGCCATTTTGCCTAATTTATTTTATAGATGGGGGAAGTGAGGCTTGGAAACTTCATAAAATTGCTTGCATTTACATAACTAGTTTCTGGCATAACTGAACTGCAGTCCCTGTCTAGAAACCTGTTTTCTACATCAATTTCTCAATTCTTGAGAGCTTATTATTGATTCTCATAGACCATAAATTGTATCAATTTACTCTGTTTTATGTCCCTGATATTTGATTACATTGATATAATGTTCTAATCTTTGCAATTATTTTGTATTGGGTATTGCACTCTTATCGTAACAAACAGGATAGTGGAGGATTCCCAGAGTGGGAAAAATAAGTTATTTCAGCAAAGTTTTTGGACCCAGGGATGAATATGTCCATTTTTCTCAGCAGGTTCCATTTGCCAGGTCATACTATGCAGATGAATCCAGCCAACCATTCCCAGGTGACAGGTTTTGTACTTCTGGGACTTTCTCAGATATGGGAGCTCCGGTTCCTCTTTTTCATTGTGTTCTCTGCTGTGTATCTTATGACTGTTACTGGAAATATCCTCATTGTGGCTGTTGTAGTATCCAACCCATGCCTGCACACCACCATGTACTTTCTCTTAAGCAATCTCTCTTTCCTAGATTTCTGCTATTCTTCTATCACAGCACCTAGGATGTTGGTTGACCTGCTCTCAGGCAACCCCACCATTTCCTTTGGTGGCTGCCTGACCCAGCTCTTCTTTTTCCACTTCATTGGTGGCATCAAGATCTTCCTATTGACTGTCATGGCATATGACCGCTATGTTGCCATTTCCCAGCCCCTACGCTACACACTCATTATGAATCAGACTATCTGTGGGATCCTCGTGGGGGCATCTTGGGTGGGTGGTTTTATCCATTCAATTGTACAGGTTGGTTTGACTATCCAGCTGCCATTCTGTGGGCCTGATAAACTGGACAACTTTTATTGTGATGTTCCACAGCTCATCAAATTGGCCTGCACAGATACCTTTGTCTTAGAGCTTCTGATGGTGTCTAACAATGGACTGGTGACTCTCATGTGCTTTCTGGTGCTGCTGGGGTCTTACACAGCATTGCTAGTCATGCTCCGAAGTCACTCAAGGGAGGGCCGCAGCAAGGCCCTGTCTACCTGTGCCTCCCACATTGCTGTGGTGACCTTAATCTTTCTGCCTTGTATCTATATCTATGCAAGGCCATTTCGGACTTTCCCAATGGATAAGGCAGTCTCTGTGCTGTATACAATGGTTACCCCCATGCTGAATCCTGCCATTTATACCCTGAGAAACAAGGATGTGATCATAGCTATGAAGAAGCTGTGGCGGAGGCAAAGCTGTCTCCTTTGTTTCCAGAGCACAGACGCCACAGATTGGACGAGGCAGAAGCCCTGAGAGATGCATCAGAGTAACAATCCAATTAGGAGGATCCACAGAGTAGCTAAATCTACTCATCCACTGCTTCTTGATTATTCTTTGCCTCAGTAAAGTCCTGGTGATCTGAACTCTTAGCCAAGTCCAAGTCATGATGAGTATTCAAGAACTGTTTTCAAGTCCATCATAGAAAAAAATTCTCATGTGCTGTGTATAAGTGATGGTTGGCTCAGATAACACTTTCACATATGAACACAACATTGATGCTTCTGAGAAAGATCCAATTGAAATATGCATGGGTATGATGAATCTGATGTCTCTTTCCTGACGTCACTTCTTGGATACAAATTACATTTGAGGAAGTCAAAAAATTCATAAACTTTCTGAAAACAGAACAGACCACAATGTTAAAATAGACATAGGATCATAAGTCTCCTGATTTCAAGAGACTGACAGAATTTAGAATCAATAAGGAAGAAAAAGTAATTACCTCAGAAAAATTACTTTCTTCCTCATGGTTTCTTAAAGTTATCACCATCTCCACTATCATCCTCATCATCATAAAATTAGCATTTGTTAAGAGCTTACTATATGACAAGCATTGCACCAAGTGATTTCACTTGTAATTTATTTGCTTTCTACTAACATTCTTATAAGGTAGGTATCCCCATTTTAAAGGAGACTCAGGAATGGATTACTAGCTATTGTCCAATTGATTGTGACTCAAGGTTGACAATCCCATATGTGCAGAGTAAAACTGCTCCATAGGGTTTTTAAATCTGTGACCTTTAAGAAGCAGATCGCCGGATGTTTTTTCGGAGGTACCTCTGGATGGGTTCAAACTTCTCAACCTTTCATGTAGTAGTTGAGCATTTAACTGGTTGTGCCACCCAGGGACCAATTGTGAATTAGAGATAACAAATAAGTTACTCAAAATTCTGTAATCCAGGAAAGGTCTCTATAACTTTGTAGTCTATGTTCTAGATGGTATCTAAAACTCTTTGTAGCCTTATTGTATACTGTTGAGCTGATTCTAATCAGCTCTGATATACTCCGTTCTAATCTACAGAACAAAGTAGAATTACTCCACAGGATTTTCCAGACTGTACTTTTCATGTGAGAGAAGGCTTAGTGGCACAGTGGTGACACCCAGCTCCTAACAGATAGGTTGCCAGTATTAACCCACCAGTTCTGCTGCATGCAAGACAGAGAGGTGGCAGTGTGCTTCTATAAAGATTTACAACCTTGGAAACTCTGTGTGGCTGTTCTCCTTTGTATCTCTGAGTCAGAATCAACTCAACAGCAATGGGTTTTTCATTTTGGTAATCTTTATGTGAGCAGATTGCCAAGTCTTTACTCCAGTGGAGGTGTTGGTGGGGTCAAACTGCTGAATATTTGGTTTGCAGCCAAGCTCTTAACCACTGCCAACAGGGCTCCTTAACTTTTTGCTAGCTGAACTGATACAGTGAATACAGCTGCTATTTTAAATTAGTCTGGGCTGTGTGTTCTTGGGAGAGTTGGGCAGAGTAGATAATGGAGTGTAAGGGTGGAACAAAATATTGTTAGTGAAGATTTCAACACAAGGAGACTGTAGAATTAGATTATAGTTGGGAAAAGCAGGCTAAATAATCAAGAAGGTATTGATTAGGTTGAGGGGTCTGAAGAGCAGCTGACTTGTTAAGTGAGATGTTTCCCAATGCCCTTGCTCAGAAACTTAGTTGTAAAATTGGCTCTCTTTATGATTATGCAGGCTTACTGTTGCCTGCGTTGATAGCCCTTCATCTTCTACTCCCTAAACAGAATGTGATAGCAGATAATGCATAAGTTTCCCTAGCAAATCTGTTTCAATTTAAGAGTGGGTGAAGAAATGATCATGGTCCTGTTAGCCATCATCACTCGACTCCTCTCAAACTTTTTAATATCTTCTTGATCCAGATTCCTTCACCTTCTATGAACAAGGTAATAAGCTGGTTTTGTCACAGGATCTTCATATTCTTCTCTTCACTTCCACATCTAAAAACCAATTAAAAAAAAAAAAACTTTTACATTGAACTTATAGATTGTTATTTAATTAATTAGTGATACACTCCATAAATACAAAATGGGAAATGAATGACATTCAAGAAAAGCCATTTGCCATCTTAGTATTAAACTTCTATCCATCGTTTATATATTAGTAAACAAAGTACTATAAAAGAAGTTCCTTGCAACAATGACAACCACTTGAGAGAAAGTGTTTAGAATATAGGCTTAGATCATAGATCATAATCAAAGAAGTAGAAAGAAAGTAGATTTGGAATACTGAAGGGAAAAATGTGAGTATATAGAGTAAACACTTTAGCTAGTATAAGAGAGATTTTACTTGACTGGGAAGAGAATTATGAAATCAGAAGACCCAAGTGAGTGGTCTTTCCACGCAGTTTAACATAGCAGCAAGTTCTCGTTCCATGACACCATAAACTTATAACAGGATCATATGTTTACTTATATAGTCACATATACAAATAAAATGTTTATTATTTATTTTTCAGTAACTGATATGATTTTCTTCACAATCTGCTCTCACCTAGACTATGCAATGTCTTCCTAATTGATCTAAAATCCATATTTTCCTCCAATCAATTATGACCACAACAGTCAGGTTGATCCTTTAAAACATGATTAGATCACTCCTTGCTTAAACTCCTTCAAAAACTTCATTTCCTTTAAAAAAGAACAAAATAATCCATATAAACATTACACAGTCCTGTCTGTTTTGGCCTATGCCCACATCTCTAACCCCATTCTTCCCTTCTTTTCTATACTTCTATAATATTCCAGCTGTTCCACGGGAGAAAGATGAGGCTTTCTGCTCCTGTAAAGATTTACAGCCTCAGAAACCGGGTACAGGGTTGCTATGAGTAGGAACCAACTCCACGGCACATAACAACAACAACATACAATATTCCTACTCCTATACTGTCTCATTAACTCATGCTCAATTTCAAGGTTAAATTTGAAGATTCCTTCCTCAGAGGCATGCTCTCCGATCTCTATTCTATAGTCGCTCATCCTGTCCTTATTACAAAGCCCAACTCTTTCCTTAAAAACTTTTTATCACAAATTGCAACTACATACCTTTTTTATGTATTCAGTTGACTTTTGTCTGCCATCCTTGCCATCCCCACTATACTATAAATTCTTTAAAATAATGAGTCATTTCTGTCTTACTTGTTTATCAAAAGACCGACCACCAGGATCTAGGCAGGCCTTTGAAATATAGCAAAACATTTAAGGAGACACTCATTCGCACGTTTGTGCTAGTATCAAAACTTCACTTATATGATCTGGCGATAGTTTCCTTAAAATTTGTGTCATAGTTGCTCAATTAGCTCATACTCATCCTGGTCCTACTAGGGCAGTGTCTAAAACATAAATCTGTTGTTAAGTGTCATTGAGTCCATTCTGACTCATCGTAATGCTGTATAGCATTTCCAAGGAGCTGCTAGTGGGTGTGAACCACAAACCTTGTGGGTTAATACTAAAATTTCAAAAGAAGATAATGTATTGGAAGGGCAAAATAATAGAAGTGAGTCAGTGGAAGACAGAATTAAATTGAAGACAAATCTCTCAGTACTAATCTATTAGAGGAACAATAAGAAAAAAGATCCAAAGAGAAAGAAGAATGCTTAAGAATGTTATGAAACACCATTAAGAGGAATGTTGTTGTTGTTGTTAGGTGCCATCGAGTCAGTACCGACTCATAGCGATCTTATGCACAACAGAAAGAAACACTGCCTGATCCTGGGCCAACCTCACTATTGTTGCCACGCTTCAGTCCATCCATGCTGCCACTGGCCAATCCATTTCATTAGGGGTCTTACTCTTTTTCTTTGACCCTCTACCTTACCAAATATGATATCCTTCTCCAGTGACTGCTCCCTTCTGACAATATATCCAAAGTATGAGAGATGAAGCCTGGCCATCCTGGCCTCCAAGGAGCACTCTGGCTGCACTTCTGCCAAAACAGATCTGTTGGTTCTTCTGGCAGCCAATGGCATTTTCAATATTCTCCTCCAACACCATATCTCAAATGCATCACTTCTTCTACAGTCTTCTTTATTCACTGTCCAGTTTTCGCATGCATATGTGGTTATTGAAAACACCATGGCTTGGGTCAGGCGTATCTTAGTCTTCAAGCTGACATCTTTGCTCTTCAACACTTTAAAAAGGTCTTGTGCAGCAGATTTGCTTAATGCAATATGTCGTTTGATCTCTTGACTACTGCTTCCATGAGTGTTTCTTTACATTGAGATGTAATCCATACCAAAGGCTGTGCTCTTTGATAATAGGTCCCTCCCTCTCTGCTCATTTGTCTATGCCAAATTTGTCAACCTGGCCAACCATTGGAATAGGTCCATATTTGTGCTCATTCCAAAGAAAGGTGACCCAATGGAATGTGGAAATCCTTCAATAATATCATTAATCTCACATGCAAGTAAAATTTTGCTGAAGATAATTTAAAAATGTTTGTAGTAGTATATCAACACACTAACAGGAAGCTGCTAAAAATTCAAGCTAGATTTACAAGAGTATGTAGAATTAGGGTTATCACTGCTGACATCACATGGATCTTGGTTGAATGCAGAGAATACCAGAAAGATGTTTGTTGTTGTTTGTAAGTGCCATTGAGTTGGTTCCAACTCATAGTAACCCCTGTATAGGGTTTCTGAGGAGTGGCTGGTAGGTTTGAACCACTGACCCTGTGGCTCAAACTGACCTTGCTGTCCAGATCATTATCCTGCAGTACCACACCAGGATTATTTGATTGTGTGGATCATAACAAACTATGGATGACATTGAGAAGAATGTGAATTCTAGAACACTTAATTGTGTTCATGAGGAAGCTGTACATACAGTCATTAGAACACAAGAGGGTACTGAATAGTTCAAATTTGCACCAGCACTGAATCTTTTCACCATATTTATTCAAACTCTATGATGAACAAATAATCCTATAATCTAGATTATATAAAAAAGAG